TCCTTCTCTCCCTCCCTCCTTTTCTTGGTGTCTCTGTCTCTGTCTCTGTCTCTCTCTCTCTCACACACACACACACACACACACACACACACTCTCTCTGTCTCTGTCTCTCTCTCTCTCTCTCTCTCTCTCAAACATTCCTAGTTATGGCTCAAAGACAAGCCTGCACAAACCATCCTCCTCTCTGATAGTCTGGCCACACAAATATTTTGGGGCACAGCTTATGGCCAGTTCCTCTGCTCCTCTGCCTCTATCCAAAATATGACTAAGAAGATAAAATGTATTAAGGGCCTACTATAATCTCTCCCCATAAATCCTCTCTTATCTGGGTTGACTTCCTAACCTTCTTACATCCTCTAGATCCTTCAGAGACTGAAAGGTTGAGATCACTGTTATGCTAGCTAGAAGTGCAGCATCCTGGGTGGCTCTTAGTCCGTCTCATTGCTCATCTCATTTGGTGGCTCAGGAACTCGGTCTGAAGGCCAAGTTGAATAAACTCCACTGTAGAGGTCAGCAGAGTGGTTCCACTTAAGTCAACTTTGTAGTTTAGGAAGCCTTGATTTCGACTTTAGATATCGGCGCCGCTCACAGCCAGCACCCAGAACACAGTTCCCCAATACCTTTCCCCTCAACAGGAACCAGGATTTGTGGGGAAATGACTGGTTCCAGTACCTGACATAAACAATCAAGGTGAACCTGAAATATTCCTGGAGGACCAAAAATCAAGGAATTGCTTAAAGAATGATATGGTAGAGCCTGCTTAAAAGGGCTCACTGGCTGATTCTAGGACAATTTTAGCATCTAAATGAAAAATGATAACATTATGAAACAAGTAAAAAATTAAATTCATGAGTCTATTGTACAGTAAAAGAGACAAAACCAGATGTGGGAAAACAGTAAGCGGTGAATCCAGGTAAAAGATATATGAATATACTATTCTTTCAATTCTCTGTAGATTTAAATCTTTCAAAATAAAAAACTGGGGAAAGAAAGAATCAGCTCCTTTCCCTAGCCTGGATAGTCTGAGCTTACCAAACCACTCTTTTCTGGGCAACAAAACGTGAATAAAATCTTTTCCTGGGCTCAGTGATTTTAGGTCCTTCTCCTATAATCTTGGTTAATATAACCTGTCAATAGTTACGAATGAATCAATCACGTAATGGATTTTAAGGTTGTCATAAGTTAGGTTAACATGAACATAAACATTGTCAAGGGCATTGAGCAAATAAAGCTACTATAATATCTGCTCGGTGCTCTATATGAATGCTCTATAACTCAGATATAAAATTGTTATGACTGGCATTTGCCTGTCATTTCTCCTTCCTTCTAAGGTTCTATATGGCACTCAGGAAAAAATGCCAGGGCTCTTCAGA